CGGGGGCTCAGAATTGAGCCACAGAATAAAGAAGAGCACCACCTGGGAGGTGGCGGGGTGTCTTGAGGCTGACAAGCCAGAGATGCGCCTGCCCAAAACCAGATGCAGAGAGTTAGCGGCGCCACAGCCCGCTAAGATAGCGGCCGCAAGCACGAAAGAATGGAGTTGGCATGGGTCGCCGAACCCTTAGGTTTGTGGTGTTAATTCACCCTAAATCCCCCAAAAGGAGGAATAACCCCGCCCGCAATGATTATCCGACACCTGAAGAGTCCCGGTTGAAGCCAAACGCCGTGGGGTTGTACTTCATAAAAGATGCAATATCCCCAAGAAAGCGGGGGTAATGCACGGAATAGCGATCGCGACAGTGAAAGAGGATATGCTGACGGGACTGCAAATCAGCCCCGCAAGTGCAGCCATGAGGCTCATTGATCTTGAAGCGACGGTAATACACTCCAATGGGTGTGGCCAGTTATACACCAGCAGACACGAGCAAACTCAGTAATACTGTGTCCGAATGTTGAAAGCCAAGGTCCCCCATTGAGGTACGATGGCTGTAGCAGCCGCCCGTCAGGCTGTTGAAGCTCTAAAAATTCAGAGCCTCGGTAAGTTGGATCCTGGAAAGTGGAGCTCCACGAATCCAGGACTGAGTGCACAGCTTTGGAGCGGAGCACGTCGATAGAGTTGTCCATCTTGCAATGTCCAACCCTGACTTTAAGTTCAGTGACATATTTGTGTGCCTCACCATGGATATCCCACCGCAGAGCAGATGGAACGTAGACAAAGGTGATGCAGCGGAGGTCATCCGCTTTGAACCACTCTTGGAGACTGACAGACTAAAAGCCTGACCAGAGTGCACAGAGGGGTCGACCGCTCTATGGGCTGAGCCCATAGAGTCAGTAAAGACCATAATATGTTGACAGTTTGCCTGCTTGACGGCAAGGCGTACTGCACACAAGATGGCATTGAGTTCCGCATCTGGGGCAGTAACTCTGCCAGAGACATAGTGAGTCCTTTTGAGCTCACGATGTCCCTTGTAGATAATGGCTGCTGAAGCCGCCTGATACTGGTTGGACTGAGGGACAGAGCCATCAGTTGCAGCCAGTACTGTTAAAGGGTCAGCCCTTGCTTTCGTGATGAGCTCGTCTAGATATGGTCGCCTATCCTGGGCAGGATCGCGCTTGTCAAAGTGGAGACGGTCTGCATAGCGGTCCAGTAACCGATCACCTGGGCGAGCTTCGGGTGCAAAGGGCTCGAAGCTCTCAGTTAAGGTGTGAATGTGTTCATCCACCTCCATGACAGTGCTCTTGACTTTCCCCCGCATAGCTGGGGTCATCAACACGGCAGAGCAGGTGTGAGGTTCAGCCTGTTTGAGAAGCCCCTCGCCCATCATGGAGCGAAGAGGGTGAGTGTCTGAGAGGGTGGCTACGCAATACACTGCGCGTGTCGCCAGCTTCTTCAGCATGAGATGAACGGGGATGAGTCCAGCGAGGGCCTCAAGACCGCCTGTGGGTGAGGTGCGGAAAGCACCCGTGATCCATAGAGCAGCTTTTCGCTGCATCCGTTTTAGCTGGTTCATCGCGCCCTTATTACGGGTGCCATCGAAATACCAGAGACGATAGCCGTATGTGGCAATAGGAACCACACACGACCTATATAAGAGGTGTCGCTGTTTAGGCAAGAGACCCCTAGTAGAGTTCCCGAGCATGCGCATGGCTTGCACGGTGGTGAACGCCTTGGTGGCATAGTAGCGAACGTGCTCATGAAACGTGAGCCCGCGGTCAAAGTAGAAGCCCAAGTACCTCCAATAGGTCTTGGGCGTCAAGGGTGTAGCACCGGTATGTGGGGTGTACCCCACATCCAGCGAGGGATTGTAGGCGTCTCATCGACGCGAAAAGTGAAACAGCTCGGTCTTGTCGTGTTCAAGAACAAGCGCAAAAGCAACAAAGAGCAGGTAGATAATTTTGTAGGCCTTATGCAGGCCCACATTATTATCATCAAGTTGTTTGGATTGGGCCAGAATGGTCCCATCATCCACAAAGGAAAGCAGTGTCGTATTGAGTGGTGCCGCCTTGATGTAGAAGAGCTTCATTACCGGCGCAATGAACAGCCCAGAGATAACAGGCAAGAGAGCTGAGCCCTGCCTGACACCCACGTCCGCAGACCGCGAGTCGGATTGGAAGGTCTTCCAGCAGTAAACTGTGGAACGACCAATGAGATAAGAGGCAAAGAACTCCACCAGAACCGGCGAGAACCCTTGCTTGCGAAGTACAGCCATGAACATTTCATGGTTGATAGAAGGGAAGAACTGTGTGATGTCAAAAGCCAGCGGGCTAGTCTGGAGACCCTTAACCCACCCCGCTCGCACGAGATGAGTCAGAATCAATCCAGCATCCTCGGTGGACCTCTGGCAGATACCGCCAAGTTGGTTGGGATGGAAGATATCATGCTTGACTGCGTCAAACTGTATCCTATTGGCAATCATCTTTTTGATAAGTTTACCGAAAGTGATGAGGAGTACGATCGGCCGGAAAGCCTTTGGCACAGCATAGGAGGGCTTATTCAGCTTCGGGACGATAACCGATAGCGACTCCTTGAATATATGCAGCCAATGACCCACCCGAAGGCAGGCGTTGGCCAGCATGATGAAGAGCGCAAGGACGTGTTTATCCTTGAGCAACTCCTTTAGGTGGACCCATGTAACATGGTCCGGTCCTGGTGCAGAGGAGTTGGAGCACCCCTTTAGGGCACTCAACAACTCATGCTCTGAGAAGTCAGCCCACTCACGGACTGGCTCGTCAGGAAGCTCGTCTAAGACTGAGGCGTCGTACTCACGACCAGAGGCCGAGTTGTACGTGCCATATAGGGCATCCCAGAGGTCGTCCATGTCATGGCAAGGCTGGTCGCCATTGCGAATAGCCTCACAGGGTGGTAGCTTGCGCTGTTTGACCCATTCCATTAGGTCCCACGGGCGCTTGCGAGAAGTAGCAATTTCTGCGATACGTTCATCAAAGAAATCACGCTTGGCGTCCTTACACACATTCTTAAACTTGTTGTAGTCAGCGAGCGAACGGCTTAACTGATATACTACGAATGTCTCCGAGCACTCATCTGTCTACCAGGACCTGGAGCGTTTGGTAGGTTTGGACTCGGTCAAGTGGGCAAGCCATGCGTCCGAGAACACTGTCGCAATAGCATCAGCTAAAGCTTCAACGCCTTCCTTGGTTGCCAGGGCTGCGACAGGAATAGCCACAAGATCCCGGAGAATGTCTGAAATGAAAGACTTCTCAGCCTCGCTTCTGGGTTTGATTGTCCGTCACCCAGATCTGGGCGGTTCAGGACCGACATCAAGATCTGTGCAGATCGGGACATGATCTGACAGACCCTGGAGATCGTGCTCCAATCTGGGCATTGAGATTAGAATCTCAGATGGAGCTAAGAATACAAGATCCAAGACGTTGGATCTCTGGTTTGGATTAGGACTGATCCTCGTCAGTCCATGGTTAGAAGGTCGAGCCCACTCGAGGCTGATCTGAGATGCGGTGTCCTGCAAGGATATTGCTGTCAACGACTTGCCATGCTCATAGTCATCCCAAGTTGTCGACACACAGTTGAAGTCACCAGCCATATAAATGAAAGGCGGAAGAGAGTGCACACGAGCAGCAAGGTGCTCAATGGCTGTGTGTTGATCATCAGAGTAGACGTTCATCAGATTAAGAACCTCACCCCCACTAAAGAGGGAGAGGACGAGAATGTCGCAATGGTCAATGATGTTGCAGCGCATAGCGGGACGATAGCGGGAGAGCCTAGTCGAAACATAGGCGATCACGTGGGGAACTTCCCCTTCCTTAATGCACACCATTTGCAGCCAGTCAGGATGCTTTGGTGCGCCAATAACCTCATCGCCCTCCATACTAGTGGTAGACAGTGCGTGTCTTATGAAATTCCAAGGTGTTTCTTGGAAGAATAAAATATCAAATCTGTCTTTACAAATTTCGAGAAGAGTGTCTACGTGTGCATATGTGTGGTGAACGTTCTGACAGTAAATGGGAGTCCCAGATGTTGCAATACACGGTGCATGATGTCGAGTGCACCGAGTTGCGGTCGATCCGAGGCTTGGTACTCAGATATGCAAATACCTCAGCATGAACCAAGGTGCGAAGGGCCTTCTCAAGTGCCTCCTGGGTGATCTTCAACCCTTTCGGATCGAAGTAGGGAACATCGAGGATCTTTATGAAAGACGTCGATGATGGGAGCGCAACCTCGAACGGGGTACCCGTTGGGAGGCTTTCGCGAATGAAGTTGCGCAATATGTCCAAATCGGACGGTCTGGCAACGGCGGGGGTGACCAACGACAAACCGTTGTAGGCACGGATGATGGAGGTGACCTTTAGCATAGATCGACCATCCCTGAGATACCCATTGGCCGCGTGGACAGCCGACTCGGTGAAGAATTTCGTGAGGTCGGGAGGGGTACCCCCAAACAACACGAGAACCTGCTTCTGGGTAGGGCCCTCGGAAGTGAAAGAAGGAATGGACCGATGAATTGAAGTCTTCATCGGACCCGTTGGGAATGAGGAGAAGGCCTGCGACGTTGCAGTCCCAAGCCAGGAGGCGGGGGAGGCATCGAAGCGGCCTGTCGTGCTATCCCTGCCCACGTTGTTGGACGGGGCTTGGGTTTAGTGGCGCGATTGATCGGCGGAGGTGGAGCAGGGTGAGAGTAGGCCACCTTGCTCTTCTTCTGGGGAGGAGGTGGGACCGGACGATCAACACCCTTTCGCTTCTTGGAAACGGGGATGTGAGAAGGGGAGGCTGGGCGACCAAGGTCGTCCAATGCCTGCATGAGGACATCAGGCGGAGCCCCTACATCAGCAACACCCTCATTGAGCGGCCCACAGGCAGCAGGAGGAGGAGGCCTGAAAACGGGAGCCGGGTGGATGGTCGGCTCATCCTTGGAAGACGTCTCAGCCTCGAGGAGAGAGGCGAGCGAGAAGTTGTCGAGTTCACCTGGTCCGCGAATACGACTGAAGTCGGTGGCCATGACGGCGTTCACGAAGGACGTCATCTGGGCCACGAAAGCATCGCCCCCATCGATGGAGAGCGGATTGTGGTGCGCAGCCCGCAGAACCCAGTCTGTGGCCTTTACAATTTTTTTTTTTTTTTTTTTTTTTTATCAATAATTTATATAGCGGTGCTTGATGGCAGCCTGCTTGCTATCTACAAACACGTACGCTACACGGCCTGGGTACTAAGTAAACTACTAAAAGACGTCCGCCCCCCCAACCACGAGCCTTATGGCTCAAACGCCTAAACTCCCATAAAGCCAGACCCACCTCGCGAAAACGGTGACGCGGGATAAGGGGAGGAGACCATCGAGGCCCTGCTAAACCCCAGAGCTGTCGGACGCTGTTCGGAGGCCACACAACGCAAATGAAATAAGAGAGCACCACCTGGGAGGTGGCAGGGTGTCTTAAGGCCGACAAGCCAGAGAAGTGCCTGCCCGAAACCAGACGCAGAAAGTTAGCGGCGCCGCAACCCGCTATGATAGCGGCCACACACTCGAAAAAGTGAAGTTGGCGCAGGTCGCCGAACCCTTAGGTTCGTGGTGTTAATTCACCCTAAATCCCCCAAAAGGAGGAATAACCCCGCCCGCAATGATTATCCGACACCTGAAGAGTCCCGGTTGAAGCCAAACGCCGTGGGGTTGTACTTCATAAAAGATGCAATATCCCCAAGAAAGCGGGGGTAATGCACGGAATAGCGATCGCGACAGTGAAAGAGGATATGCTGACGGGACTGCAAATCAGCCCCGCAAGTGCAGCCATGAGGCTCATTGATCTTGAAGTGACGGTAGTACGCTCCAATGGACACATGGCCAGTTATACACCAGCAAACGCGAGCGAACTCAGTGATACTGTGTCCAAATGTTGAAAGCCAAGGTCCCCCATTGAGGTACGATGGCTGTAGCAGCCGCCCGTCAGGCTGTTGAAGCTCTAAGAATTCAGAGCCTCGGTAGGTTGGATCCTGGAAAGTGGAACCCCACGAATCCAGGACTGAGTGCGCGGCTCGGGAGCGCAGCGCGTCTATAGAGTTGTCCGTCTTCCGACATCCAACCCTGACTTTGAGTTTGGTGACGTACTTGTGTACCTCACCATGAATGTCCCACCGCAGGGCAGATGGAACGTAGACAAACGTGATGCGGCGGAGATCATCCACCTCGAACCACTCTCGGAGAATGTGGCAGACCGACAGGCTGAAAGCCTGCCCAGAGTGCACAGAAGGGTCGACTGCTCTATGGGCCGAGCCCATAGAGTCAGTAAAGACCATAATATGTTGGCAGTTTGCCTGCTTGACAGCAAGGCGCACTGCGCACGAGATGGCATTGAGTTCCGCATCTGGGGCGGTAACTCTGCCAGAGACATAACGAGTCCTTTTGAGCTTGCGATGTCCGTTGTAGATTATAGCAGCCGAAGCCGCCTGTGGCCTTCGCAATGGAGGTGGTCAATACCTTGAGATTGCCAGGAAGATCCTCAACTGTGTCTCCGAACTTCAAGGTGTATTGACCTAAGAGAAGGTCAACGGAGGGGTCCCTCGAGACCTTCTCCCCTCCCTGAGTGCCCTCAACCTCCATCTCCTGGGGGTGGGCCGTCCCTGAGTCAGACTCATCTGCGGACGAATGGGTGGAACCCGTGGTGGAACGGGACCTGCGGCGGGGCGATGTGTGGCGAGATCGAGCTGGCACGACCGTCGAGTATGTGGCCCTAGTCGAGGTAGGGTCTGGCGAGATTGGCGAGGCATCACCACCAAAAGACGATGAGCCAGCGACCGATGGTGGTATTGCTGGTGGGGCGGAGCCCGAGTCCCCCCCACGACGGCTCCTAGGAACTGCCCCAGGGGGCCTCGCGCCCCGACCTCTCGGTGGGAGGTCGGACATGGTTTGCGAATGCGGTACGAACGTTCAGGCGGGTTGGTCTGACTGTAAGATAACACGGTAGACGATGTGCGAGACGATGAGCTGGTTGTTTGCACATGTTTACAAGTGGGCGTTCAAGAGAAAGAGGCGCCTCGTAGTATGTTATTCTACATGGCATAAATACCCATGTACAGTAGTTGATTCCTCAGTCAGAATATCAAACTTGCCCCATTTCTTAGAGTGCAGAAGAATTAATAAAAGAATAAATAGGACAGCTAAAGATATGAGACAAAAATGAACTTGTAATTGCCATGCAAAGCAATGGCCCACAATACCAAGTATCAAGATCATTCTGCCTGTGTTTGTGGATGATATGACTCTTGCTTTGAGATCTGAGGAGGCATTGGACAAGTTTGTTGCTGAGTTGGCTACTCACTTCAAACTCAGGGACTTGGGACCAACCAAATTCTTACTGGGTGTAGAGATTGGACGCAACAGGGCAGAGAGCCAATTGACCTTGTGTCAGCATCAGTACATTGTCAACAAGTTGGAGGAATATGGAATGGCTAGTTGCACACCTGTTGGGACACCTATGGTCCCTGGTCTGAAGTTGTCAAAGAAAGACTGTCCAACAACTCCAGAGGAGGCAGAGATGGAAAACATCCCTTACATTAGCGCCATTGGATCCCTCATGTATCTGGCTACAATGACCTGACCTGATATTGCTTATACAGTGGGAGTACTGGCAAGGTTCAATTCCAACCCAGGAAAACCACATTGGCAAGCTGTTAAGCATTTGTTCCAATATCTGAAAGGCACCTTGGATATGAAACTGGTTTATGGCCCTGACCCTGCGTTGGGGAAGGAATTGTTTTGGACATACAGTGATGCAGATTTTGGAGGGGATAAGGATAGAGGGAAGTCAACAACTGGGTATATGGTGAAATTGGGAAGGGGAGCAGTATGTTGGAGCAGCAAACTTCAGTCAATTGTGACCACATCAACCACAGAGGCAGAATACGTTGCAGGACTGGCAGCAGGCAAGGAGATATGTTGGGTGCAGAACATCTTGACTGAATTGGGCTACCATCCTGCTAAGCCTTCAAAACTCTACATTGATAACCAGTCAGCATTGTCTGTGACCAAGAATCCAGAGCATCATGGGAGAATGAAGCACTTGGATATCTCATTCTATTGGTTACGAGATCAAGTAGAGAAGTGGAGCATGGAGACAATTCATCTGCCCACAATGGAGATGCCAGCAGACCTGTTGACAAAAGCATTGCCAAAGCCTCAGGTGGAGAAACTGGAGGTCTTTGTACTCCCCCACGTATCCCTATAGGACTCCAGTGGACTCCAGTGGAGTCTGGTAGAAATCTATTAGCAGGAACACCAGCCAAAAGTGCCTACTGGAGTCACCACCCAAAGTCTACTGGAGTTCACTGGAGTATACAGTGGAGCTTCTATCGCGACTTCAGTGGAGTCCAGTGAACAATGCAGAGAGATGTTATAGTCGTAGAAGACTGATGCCAAGATTGATGGCCAGTCACATGACTTGTTATTTGCCTATTCCTTCAGAGTCAGCTTCTGAAACTTTGATGTTATGGCCTCAAATAGAAACAATTAATAAATATATGATTGCTAGGCCCAGACTTGGCATTGATGAAAAGTAATAAAGCTATCAAGTTTGCTGATGACATCAATATCAGAGTCACATGTGACAAATTGGATTTTGCCAAAATGTGCTCTATCTACACAGGGACTAGGGGTGCTAACAATATGAGATATGCAGGTCACATGACTGTGAGAAAATTTCTTTTTAGAAGAAAATAATTGCAATAAATGATGATCCTGAATCCACTTGAGTGATGGTATTTGGCTCTATTAATGACAAGATATAAGCCAAATAATGCCAAAATTTGCAAAAGTAATCTACTTTTTCAGTATTTTGCATTTTTCTTGCCAAGCAGAGCAGCTAATGACATCAAATAACTTGATTCAGGGTTGGCCAAAGGTGCTCTACATGTTTTTTCCTTAAAAAAATTGATTGTTAAGCATCTTGTTACATATTCTATATGTTGGACTTGGGGAATGGTCTAACAGACTATTATCTATTCTGATGTGTAATAGGTACTGGTTAGTAGTCTATTTTGATACATATACTGGAGTCCAGTAGAGTCCAGTAAGACTCCAGTAAGACTCCAGTAAGACTCCAGTAAGACTCCAGTAAGACTCCAGTAAGACTCCAGTATTACACTCCAGTAGAGTCCAGTCTACTTTCTTACTGGACTCCACTGGACTCCACTGAACTCCACTATACCTTCTTACTGGAGTCCACTGGAGTCCACTGAACTCCAGTATAATTCCACTGGACTCCACTGGACTCCACTGCATAATATGCCAACTCCACTGGAGTCCAGTGGAGTCCTATAGCACTCTGTGGGGGACCACAAAGTACTGAATAGGTCTTGGGCTTCAAAGTAGTAACGCCGGTGTGTGGGGCGTACCCCAAATCCAGCAAGGGATTGTAGGCATCTCGCCGACGTGAGAAGTGGACTGGTGGATGGATGAGTGCTCGGAAACATTCAGAGCATATCAGTTGAGCTACTCGCTTGCTGATTACAACAAATTCAAGAAGGTGTGCAAAAATGCCAAGCATGATTTCTTTGATGAATGTATCGCAGAAATTGCTACTTCTCGCAAGCGCCCGTGGGACCTAATGGAATGGGTCAAACAGCGCAAGCTACCACCCTGTGAGGCTATTCGCAATGGCGACCAGCCTTGCCATGACATGGACGACCTCTGGGATGCCCTATATGGCACGTACAACTCGGCCTCTGGTCGTGAGTACGACGCCTCAGTCTTAGACGAGCTTCCTGACGAGCCAGTCCGTGAGTGGGCTGACTTCTCAGAGCATGAGTTGTTGAGTGCCCTAAAGGGGTGCTCCAACTCCTCTGCACCAGGACCGGACCATGTTACATGGGTCCACCTAAAGGAGTTGCTCAAGGATAAACACGTCCTTGTGCTCTTCATCATGCTGGCCAACGCCTGCCTTTGGGTGGGTCATTGGCCGCATATATTCAAGGAGTCGCTATCGGTTATTGTTCTGAAGCTGAATAAGCCCTCCTATGCTGTGCCAAAGGCCTTCAGGCCAATTGTACTCCTCATCACTTTCGGTAAACTTATTGAAAAGATGATTGCCAACAGGATACAGTTTGATGCTGTCAAGCATGATATCTTCCATCCTAACCAGCTTGGCGGCATTTGCCAAAGGTCGACTGACGCTGGCTTTTGACATCGTGCAGTTCTTCCCTTCTATCAACCATGAAATGTTCATGGCTGTTCTTCGCAAGCAGGGATTCTCCCTGGTGTTGGTGGAGTTCTTTGCCTCTTATCTTGTTGGATGTTCCACAGTTTACTGCTGGAACACCTTCCAATCCGACTCGCAGTCTGTGGACATGGGTGTCAGGCAGGGCTCAGCTCTCTCACCTGTTATTTATTTTTATTTTTTTATCAACAATTTATATAGTGGTGCTTGATGGCAGGCCGCTCGCTATCTACAAACATGTATGCTACACAGCCTGGTTACTAGGTTAACCACTAAAGGACAACCACCCCCCCAACCAAAACCCTTTGGGCTCAAACACCGAAACTCCCCAGAGGGCAACCCACCTCGCGAAAATGGTGCATTGGGATAAGGGGAGGAAACCATGGAGGTCCTGCTATGCCCCAAAGTCGTTGATCGCTGTTTGGAGGCCACGCAGCACAAATGAGATAAGAAGAGCACCACCTGGGAGGTGGCAAGATGTCTTGAGGCCGACAAGCCAGAGAAGCGCCTGCCCGAAACCAGACGCAGAGAGTTAGCGGCGCCGCAACCCACTACAATAGTGGCTGCAAGCGCGAAGAAATAGTGGCGGGTGCAGGTCTTCGAACCCTAGAGCTCGGTGGTGTCAATTCACCATAAATCCCCCAAAAGGAGGAACAACCCTGCCCACAACAATTATCTGACACCCGAAGGGTCCCGGTTGAAGCCAAACGCCGTGGGGTTGTACTTCATAAAAGATGCAATATCCCCAAGAAAGCGGGGGTAATGCACGCAGTAGCGATCGTGACAGCAAAAGAGGACGTGCTGGCGAGACTGCAAAGCAGCCCCGCAAGTGCAGCCATGAGGCTTGTTGATCTTGAGGCGACGGTAATACACTCCAATGGCCGTGTGGCCAGTTATACACCAGCAAATGCGAGCGAACTCAGTGATACTGTGTCCAAAGGTTGAAAGCCAAGGTCCCCCATTGAGGTACGATGGCTGTAGCGGCCGCCTGTCAGGCTGTTGAAGCTCTAAAAATTCAGAGCCTCGGTAGGTTGGGTCCTGGAAGGTGGAGCTCCATGAATCCAGGACTAAGTGCGCGGCTCGGGAGCACAGCGCGTCTATAGAGTTGTCCGTCTTGCGACGCCCAACCCTGACTTTGAGTTCAGTGACGTACTCGTGTGCCTCACCATGGATATCCCACCGCAAAGCAGAGGGAACGTAGATAAAGGTGATGCGGCAGAGATCATCCGCCTCAAACCACTCTTGGAGAGCGCGACAAACTGACTCTCTCGCCTGTTATCTCTGGGCTGTTCATCAGAGGGAACGTAGATAAAGGTGATGCGGCAGAGATCATCCGCCTCAAACCACTCTTGGAGAGCGCGACAAACTGACTCTCTCGCCTGTTATCTCTGGGCTGTTCATTGCTCCGGTAATGAAGCTCTTCTATATCAAGGCAGCGCTGCTCAACACGATGCTACTCTCCTTTGTGGATGATGGAACCATCTTGGCACAATCCAAACAACTTGATGATAATAATGTGGGCCTGCGTAAGGCCTACAAGATTATCTACCTTCTCTTTGTTGCCTTTGCACTCGTTCTTGAACACGACAAGACTGAGTTGTTCCACTTTTCGTGCTGTCGAGACACCTACAATCCCTCGCTGGATCTGGGGTATGCCCCGCATACCAGTGCTACGCCTTTGAAACCCAAGACCTATTGGAGGTACTTGGGCTTCTACTTTGACCGTGGGCTCACCTTCCATGAGCATGTTCGCTACTATGCCACTAAGGCATTCACCACCATGCAGGCTATGCGCATGCTCGGAAACTCTACAAGAGGTCTCTCGCCTAAACAGCTGCGCCTCCTTTATAGGTCGTGTGTGGTTCCCATTGCCATGTACGGCTATTGTCTCTGGTACTTCAACGGCGCCTGTAATAAGGGCGCAATGAACCAGCTAAAACAGATGCAGCGGAAAGCTGCTCTATGGATCATGGGTGCCTTCCGCACCTCTCTCACAGGCGGTCGTGAAGCCTTAGCAGGCCTCATCCCCATCCACCTTATGCTGAAGAAGTTGGCCACATGCACAGTGTATCACGTTGCCACCCTCTCAGACACTCACCCTCTCCACTCTATGATGGGCGAGAGGCTCCTCAAGCAGGCTGAACCTCATGCCCGCTCGGCCGCCTTGATGACCCCAGCTATGCGAGGGAAGGTCAAGAGCACCGTCATGGAGGTGGACGAACGTGTCCACACCTTAACTGAGAGCTTTGAGCCCTTTGCGCCCAAAGCTCGCCCTGGTGATTGGTTATTGGACCGCTTTGCAGACCAGCTCCACTTTGATGAGTGCGATCCTACCCAGGATAGGCGCCCATATCTTGACAAACTCATCGCGAAAGCGAGGGCCGACCCTTTAACAGTACTGGCTGCAACTGATCACTCCGTCCCTCAGTCCAACCAGTATCAGGCAGCTTCGGCTGCTATAATCTATAAGGGACATCACAAGCTCGAGAGGACTCGCTATGTCTCTGGCAGAGTTACCACCCCAGATGCGGAACTCAATGCCATTGCGTGTGCAGTGCACCTTGCTGTCAAGCAGGCAAACTGCCAACATATCATGGTCTTTACTGACTCTATGGGCTTGGCCCACAGAGCGGTGGACCCTTCCGTACACTGGTCAGGCTTTTAGCTTGTCAGTCTGTCATGCACTCCAAGAGTGGTTCGGGGTTCCATGTTGCGAGATCGTACCTACTGAGGCTCCGAGTTTTTGGAGCTTCAATGGCCTGACGGGCGGCCGCTACAGCCATCGTACCTCAATGGGGGACCTTGGCTTTTTTTTTTTTTTTTTTTTTGATCAACAATTTATATAGCGGTGCTCGATGGCAGGCCGCTCGCTATCTACAAACACGTACGCTACACCGCCTGGTTACTAAGTTAACCACTAAAGGACGACTGCCCCCCCAACCAAGACCCTGTGGGCTCAAACACTGAAACTCCCCAGAGGGCAACCCACCTCGTGAAAACGGTGCATCGGGATAAGGGGAGGAGACCATCGAGGTTCCACTACGCCCCAAAGTCGTTGATCGCTGTTTGGAGGCTCCGCAGTGCAAATGAAATAAGAAAAGCACCATCCGGGAGGTGGCAGGGTGTCTTGAGGCCGACAAGCCAGAGAAGCGCCTGCCCGAAACCAGACGCAGAAAGTTAGCGGCGCCGCAACCCGCTATGATACCGGCCGCACACACGAAAAAGTGAAGTTGGTGTGGGTTGCCGAACCCTTAGGTTTGTGGTGTTAATTCACCCTAAATCCCCCAAGAGGAGGAATAACCCTGCCCGCAATGATTACCTGACACCCGAAGGGTCCCGGTTGAAGCCAAACGCCGTAGAGTTGTACTTCATAAACGATGCAATATCCCCGAGAAAACGAGGATAATGTACAGAGTATCTATCGCGGCAGCGAAAGAGAACATGCTGACGAGACTGCAAAGCAGCCCCGCAAGTGCAGCTGTGAGGCTCATTCATCTTGAAGCGACGGTAATACGCTCCAATGGGCACGTGGCCAGTTATACACTGGCAAACACGAGCAAACTCAGTGATACTGTGTCCGAATGTTGAAAGCCAAGGTCCCCCATTGAGGTACAATGGCTGTAGCGGCTGCCCGTCAGGCTGTTGAAGCTCTAAGAATTCAGAGCCTTGGTAAGTTGGATCCTGGAAAGTGGAACTCCACGAGTCCAGGACTGAGTGTGCGGCTCAGGAGCGCAGCACGTCTATAGAATTGTCTGTCTTCCGACATCCAACCCTGACTTTGAGTTCGGTGACGTACTTGTGTGCCTCACCATGGATATCCCACCGCAAAGCAGAGGGGATGTAGACGAAGGTGATGCGGTGGAGATTGTCCACCTCGAACCACTCTTGGAGAGCGCGACAAACTGACAGGCTAAAAGCCTGACCAGAGTGCACGGAAGGGTCCACCGCTCTGTGGGCCAAGCCCATAGAGTCAGTAAAGACCATAATATGTTGGCAGTTTGCCTGCTTGACAGCAAGGTGCACTGCACACGCAATGGCATTGAGTTCCGCATCTGGGGCGGTAACTCTGCCAGAGACATAACGAGTCCTTTTGAGCTCACGATGTCCCTTGTAGATGATGGCAGCCGAAGCCGCCTGATACTGATTGGACTGAGGGATGGAGCCATCAGTTGCAGCCAGTACTGTTAAGGGGTCAGCCCTTGCCTTCGCGATGAGCTGGTCGAGATATGAGCGCCTATCCTGGGTAGGATCACGCTCGTCAAAATGGAGACAGTCCGCATAGCGGTCCAGTAACCGATCACCTGGGCGAGCTTCAGGTGCAAAGGGCTCAAAGCTCTCAGTTAAGGTGTGGACGCGCTCGTCCACCTCCATGATGGTGCTCTTGACCTTCCCTCACATAGCTGGGGTCATCAAGGCAGATGAGCAGGCATGAGGTGCAGCCCGCTTAAGGAGTCCCTCGCCCAACATGGAGCAAAGGGGATGGGTGTCCGAGAGGGTGGCAACGCGGTACACTGCACGCGTTGCCAACTTCTTCAGCATAAGGTAGACGGGGATAAGACCTGCCAAGGCCTCAAGACCGCCTGTAGGGGAGGTGTGGAAAGCACCCGTGATCCATAGAGCAGCTTTTCGCTGCATCCGTTTTAGCTGGTTCATCGCACCCTTATTACGGGCGCCGTCGAAATACCAGAGACGATAACCGTATGTGGCAATAGGAACCACACATGATCTATATAAGAGGCGGCACTGTTTAGGCGAGAGACCCCTGGTAGAGTTTCCGGGCATGCGCATGGCCTGCACAGTGGTAAATGCCTTGGTGGCATAGTAGCGAACATGCTCATGAAATGTGAGCCCACAGTCAAAGTAGAAGCCCAAGTACCTCCAATAGGTCTTGGGCTTCAAAGGCGTAGCACCAGTATGCGGGGTGTACCCCAGATCCAGCGAGGGATTGTAGGCGTCTCGTCGACGTGAGACGTGAAACAGCTCAGTCTTGTCGTGTTCAAGAATGAGTGCAAAAGCAACAAAGAGAAGGTAGATAATTTTGTAGGCCTTATGCAGGCCCACATTATTATCATCAAGTTGTCTTGACTGGGCCAAAATGGTCCCATCATCCACAAAGGAGAGAAGTGTCGTGTTAAGTGGTGCCGCCTTGATATAGAAGAGCTTCATCACTGGAGCAATGAACAGCCCTGAGATAACGGGTGAGACAGCAGAGCCCTGCCTGACACCCACATCCGCAGACTGCAAGTCGGATTGAAAGGTGTTCCAGCAGTAAACTGTGGAACGACCAACAAGATAGGAAGCAAAGGACTCCACCAGGACTGGCGAGAACCCTTGCTTGCGAAGTACAGCCATGAACATCTCATGGTTGATAGAAGGGAAGAACTGCGCGATGTCAAAAGCCAGCGCACTAGTCTGGAGACCCTTAACCCACCCCACTCACATGAGATGGGTCAGAATCAATCCAGCATCCTCGGTTGACCTCTGGCGACTGCCGCCAAGTTGGTTGGGATGGAAGATATCATGCTTGACAGCGTCAAACTGTATCCTATTGGCGATCATCTTTTTGATAAGTTTACCAAAGGGGACCTTGGCTTTCAACCTTCAGACACAGTATCACTAAGTTTGCTCATGTTTGTTGGTGTATAACTGGCCACGCGCCCATTGGAGCATATTACCGTCACTTCAAAATCAACAAGCCGCACAGCTGCACTTGCGGGGCTGCTTTGCAGTCTCGCCAGCACATCCTCTTTGGCTGTCGCGATCAATACTCCATACATTATCCCCGTTTCCTCGGGGATCTTGCATCGTTTATGAAGTACAACCCTATGGCATTTGGCTTCAACCGGGACCCTTTGGGGGTCGGATAATCGCTGTGGGCGGGGTTATTCCTCCTTTTGGAGGATTTATCAGTGAATTGACACCCTTGGACCTTAGGGTTCAGAGACCTGCGCCCACTGCTATTTCTTCGCGCTTGTGGCCGCTATTATAGCAGGTTGCAGCGCCGCTAACTTTCTGCGTCTGGTCTCGGGCAGGCGCTTCTCTGGCTGGTCGGCCTCAAGACACCCTGCCACCTCCCGGGTGGTGCTGTTTTATTTCATTTGCGCTGCGTGGCCTCTGAACAGCGTCCGACAACTTTGGGGTTTAGCAGGGCCTTGATGGTTTCCTCTCCTTATCCTGTGTCACCGTTTTCGCGAGGTGGGTCTGGCTTTGTGGGAGTTTAGGCGTTTGAGCCACAAGGCTCGTGGTTGGGGGGGGGACATCTTTTAGTAGTTTACTTAGTACCCAGGCCATGTAGCGTACGTGTCTGTAGATAGCGAGTGGGCTGCCATCGAGCACTGCTATATAAATTGTTGATAAAAAAATAAAAAAAAAAGAAAAAAAAAGCAGCCCTGCAAGTGCAGCCATGAGGCTCATTGATCTTGAAGCGACGATAGTACGCTCCAATGGGCATGTGGCCAGTTATACACTGGCAGACACGAACAAACTCAGTGATACTGTGTCCGAATGTTGAAAGCCAAGGTCCCCATTGAGGTACGATGGCTGAATCGGCTGCCCGTCAGGCTGTTGAAGCTCTAAGAATTCAGAGCCTCGGTAAGTTGGATCCTGGAAAGTGGAACTCCACGAGTCCAGGACTGAGTGCGCAGCTTGAGAGCGTAGCGCATCTATAGAGTTGTCCGTCTTGCGATGTCCAACCCTGACTTTGAGCTCAGTGACGTACTTGTGTGCCTCACCATGGATATCCCACTGCAATGCAGATGGAACGTAAACAAAGGTGATGCGGCGGAGATCGTCCGCCTCGAACCACTCTTGGAGAGCGTGACAGACCAACAGACTGAAAGCCTGGCCAGAGTGTATGGAGGGGTCCACCGCTTTATGGGCCAAGCCCATAGAGTCAGTAAAGACCATAATATGCTGGCAGTTCGCCTGCTTGACAGCAAGGCGCACCGCACACGAAATGGCATTGAGTTCCGCATCAGGGGCAGTCATCACTTTTGGTAAACTTATCAAGAAGATGATTGCCAACATGATACAGTTTGACGCTGTCAAACATGATATCTTCCATCCCAACCAACTTGGCGGTATCTGCCAGAGGTCGACTGAGGATGCTGGATTGATTTTGACTCATCTTGTGCAAGCGGAGTGGGTTAAGGGTCTCCAGACTAGTGTGCTGGCCTTTGACATCGCGCAGTTCTTCCCTTCTATCAACCATGACATGTTCATGGCTGTCCTGCGCAGGCAAGGGTTTTCGTCAATCTTGGTGGATTTCTTTGCCTCTTACTTAGTTGGTTGCTCCATGGTTTACTGTTGGAACACCTTCCAATCTGACTCACGGTCTGCGGACGTGGGTGTCGGGCAGGGCTCTGCTCTCTCGCATGTTATCTCAGGGCTTTTCATTGCTCCAGTAATGAAGCTCTTTTATATCAAAGCAGCGCCGCTCAACACGACACTGCTCTCCTTTGTGGATGACGGGACCATCCTGGCCCAGTCCAAACAACTTGATGATAATAATGTGGGCCTGCGTAAGGCCTACAAGATTATCTACCTTCTCTTTGTTGCTTTCGCACTCGTTCTTGAACATGACAAGACTGAGCTGTTTTACTTTTTGCGTCGACGAGACGCCTACAATCCCTTGCTGGATTTGGGGTACACCCCACATACAGGTGCTACACTTTGAAACCCAAGACCTATTGGAGGTACCTGGGCTTCTACTTTGACCACGGGCTCACCTTCCATGAGCACGTTCACTACTATGCCGCCAAGGCATTCACTACTGTGCAGGCCATGCGCATGCTCAGGAATTCTACAAGAGGTCTCTCACCTAAACAGCAGCGCCTCCTCTACAGATCTTGAATGGTTCCCATTGCCACATATGGCTATTGTCTCTGGTATTTCGATGGTGCCCGTAACAAGGGCGCAATGAACCAGCTAAAACAGATGCAGCGGAAAGCTGCTCTATGGATCACGGGTGCCTTCCGCACCTCTCCCACAGGCGGTCATGAAGCCTTAGCAGGCCTCATCCCTGTCCACCTTATGCTGAAGAAGTTGGCCACATGCACAGTGTATCACATTGCCACCCTCTTGGACACCCACCCTCTTCACTCCATGATGGGCAAGAGACTTCTCAAACGGGCTGAGCCTCACACCTGCTCTGCTGCCTTGATGACCCCAATTATGCAAGGGAAAGTCAAGAGCACTGTCATGGAGGTGGACGAGCATGTCCACACCTTAACTGAGAGCTTCAAGCCCTTTGTGCCCAAAGCTCGCCCTGGTGATTGGTTACTGGACCGCTATGCAGACCATCTCCACTTCAATGAGCGTGATCCCACACAGGATAGACGCCCATATCTCGATGAGCTCATCACAATTGCGAGAGCCGACCCTTTAACAGTACTGGCTGCGGCTGATGGCTCTGTCCCTCAGTCCAACCAGTACCAGGCAACCTCGGCCGCCATCATCTACAAGGGACATCGCAAGCTTGAAAGGACTTGCTATGTCTCTGGCAGGGTTACTGCCCCTGATGCGGAACTCAATGCCATTGCGTGTGCAGTGCGCCTTGCTGTCAAGCAGGCAAACTGCCAACATATCATGGTCTTTACTGATTCTATGGGCTTGGCCCACAGAGCAGTAGACCCCTCCATACACTCTGGTCAGGCTTTCAGCTTGTCAGTTTGTCGCACGCTCCAAGAGTGGTTTGAGGCAGATGATCTCTGCCACATAACCTTTGTCTACGTTCCATCTGCTTTGCGTTGGGACATTCATGGTGAAGCACACAAGTACGTCACTGAGCTCAAAGTCAGGGTTGGATGTCGCAAGACAGACAACTCTATAGACGCACTATGCTCTCAAGCCGCGCACTCAGTCCTGGACTCGTGGAGTTCCACTTTCCAGGATCCAACCTACAGGGGCTCTGAATTCTTGGAGCTCCAACAGCCTGACGGGTGGCCGATCCAGCCATCGTACCTCAATGGGGGACCTTGGCTTTCATATTTCGGACACAGTATCACTGAGTTTGCTCGCGTCTGCCAGTGCATAACTGGCCATGCACCCATTGGAGTGTATTACCGTCGCTTCAAGATCAATAAGCCTCATGGCTGCACTTGCAGGGCTGCTCTGCAGTCCTGCCAGCACGTCCTCTTTTGCTGCCGTGATAGATACTCTGTACACTACCCCCGTTTTCTCAGGGATATTGCATCGTTTCTGAGGCACAACCCTATGGCGTTTGGCTTCAACCAAGACCCCTCGGGTGTCGGATCATTGCTGCAGGTGGGGTTGTTCCTCCTTTTGGGGGATTTATGGTGAATTGACACCACCGAGCTCTAGGGTTCAAAGACCTGCACCTGTGACAACTCATTCGTGCAGGCGGTCGACCTCTTTTGGTTGATTGCAGCACTGCTAATTCTCTGCGTCTGGTTTCAGGCAGGTGCATCTTTGGCTTGTCGGCCTCAAGACACCCTGCCACCTCCCAGGTGGTGCTGTTTTATCTCATTTGCACTGCGTAGCCTCTGAACAGCAATCAACAACTTTGGGGTGTAGTGGAACCTCAATGGTTTCCTCCCCTTATCCTGATGCACCGTTTTTGCAAGGTGGGTTGCCCTCCGGGAAGTTTCAACATACACCAGAAGGGTCTTGGTTGGGGGGGCGGTCATCTTTAGGTAGTTTACTTAGTACCCAGGCCGCATAGTGTACATGTTTGTAGATAGCGAGCGGGCTGCCATCGAGCACCGCTATATAAATTGTTGAATAAAAATAAAAATAAAAAAAATAAAAAGACTATTGACAGACCTGAAAGTCAGTACAGATGTATATCTAATATGGTTGATAATAGCCTCAAAGTTATAGACCTGTAGTATTAGTAGGTGTTGAGATATAGAGGTGCGGGTTTTTAGCATTAAAACAATGCACATATTGCAATATCTTGGCATCAAGAACATCAACAGACCTGAAAATGTGTATACAGGTAGATATAATATAGGTGATGTTGGCCCCAAACTTATAGACCTGTAGCATCAGTAGATGTTGAGATATGGATGTGCGAGTTGTCTGCATTTAAAACATGCAATATCTCATGCCACAGCACCCCTGAAGATCTGAAACTTCTTATGTAAGCTTCTCTGAACATCGTCTCATGGTGTATAAAATTTAAGAGCTGTAGCTGCACCCATTGAAGAGATATAGAGACACTGTTTCTGTAGTAGAAGGACATGTGACTAATGTAAAATACAGGAGAAAAATACAGTACCCATAAATATAATGTGGAGTATGTGAATACTATGTTATTTGTAGACAGTAACATTCCTATAGTGGTAAGTGATCAGGTGACTTGTGCTGGCCATAATTGTGTGCTACATCATCGCTTTCTTTCTTCTGCTGCTACTATCACCATTCCTCCTCTCCCTCTTCTACTATAGATACCTACACCATGCACCTGTGCCTTCCAATGAGGGTCAGGGCACATTTTGAAGGGCTGAATGGAGGAGGAGAAAGACAAAGGGAGACCCGAGTAGCTGGAGACCCAAGTAGCCGGAGACCAAACGCCCAACGCAGTGAGTGACTGACTACCTCTTCTTCCACTCTTCCTTACTCATCTGCTAGTTCTCTGTTGCATCACACAAGTTGATAATAGGCCCCATGTCTTGGTGCTGGCCTGCTGGTTCAACATCAGCCACAGTAACTGAAAGCTGCTCCCTCATGACTCAATGTCAGTCCCCCACAACTCAATGTCAGGTCCAACAACTCAATGATCGCCTCCACAGATCAATGTCAGATCCAACATCTCCATGCCCATGCCCTCCAATGAGGGTTATAGAAGAGCTGGATGGAGAGAAGGACCACAAGAGAGACCTGAGCAGTGGGAGACCCAGCATAGTGTGTCACTGACCCTAATCCCTCCTTCCATTACTTATTCCACCCCACCAGTTCATCATCATGTTGTGTGACTTGATGACAGCCTCCACAAGTCAACAACAACCACCTCTGTGACTTGACAACAGTGTTCTCTCATTCATACTCATGACTTGGCCTTTGCTTCCTGGAACATGTATTTCACATAATTATTCTCAATATATATCTATTCTATTTCATGATGTTCTGAAAGTGAACTTTTTTAGAGGATGAGAGCTTTTGGTCAGCTCATCCTTTGCATTTAGATGGGCGAGAGGCATTGGAGGGGCAAGAAGAGGGGGTGGTGGTGGCGGAAGGTGAGAGGTGGGCAGTGCTGGGTGGGCAGGCAGGCAGAGCAGGCAGGCAGGCAGGGCACAGAATGAGCATGAACGCTGCTGAACCTCCCTGTTTGGCATTGTTTGTTGTCTTTGGGGGCCGTTTGGGTGGGCAAGGGGTGTTGGAGGGGTGAGAG